AAGAGAATTATTTTTTGTTGTTTCGATGTAATTTTTAGTCTATCTGATGTTATAGGATTGAAAAAGGCCATGTAAAACCGAAAATTTCCGAATATATGCTTTCGTTTTTTTCTGTTAAAAATAATAATAAAACATTTTGTGTACAGGATACTGCATTTTCATTGATACATTTAATTATGATTTAATTTCAATGTGTATTTGATTTCATACAAAAGATATATATGACGAACAGTACAAGTTCAATTTAAACAAATATTTTTCATAATGAAATACCCATGTCGCTCGAATCGGTAAAAAACCGTCGGTTAACCGTGGTTAACCGTTCGGTGAACCGCGGTTAACCGAAAAATTTCCGGTTAACTGCAGTCCACAGCAGTTAACCGGCGGTAAACACGGTCAAGAGATGGTTCTTCATCACAACCCTCTCAACATCCTTCCTACACCCAACTACTCATGATGTTTATCGTTTATTTTAGGGTTGCACTAAATTCTACTTATCTACCTTAAGATTGTACACTTTCGGTAAGAAGACTTCCGAATCCAGCCAAATCTTTGTGTCAATTATAAATTATAAACAATTTTAGTCACACTACTTCATATTGTATTACTCTATGTACCAAATCTCGGAAGTGTTTTTCTGAGATTTAACAAATATGGTACTGCAATATCAAGTAAAGCGACTAAAAATGTTTCTAACTTACAACTGATGCAAAGATTTGATCTTATTTGGGTGCTTTATTTCTGAAAATCTACAACCTTTATGTAGAAGCACAGGATTTGTCGCATCCTGAAAATTGATCGTATGGGTAAATACGCAACTTAATTTATCAATTCATACCCAGGCGAGCAAAAGACGGGTAAAAAGACTAGTCTTTTACGTAGTCCAGACGGCACGTCCGGTATAGTCTTTTTCTCAAAACGGACTCCTAGATGACTAGTCCGAAATCGTTTACCATGTTTAGCACCGGTCCGGACCCGTCCGAAATACATTGTAAATTAAAAAGGAAGAGCGTCAGTGACACGACATCTATCAGGATCTACTTATATGTAGTGGTCTAGTACGGACTAGTCTAAATGATAGAAGTGCGTGCAGAGTTAGATTCGAACATCCATAGCATATGTTACTTACCTATACTTTACCCGATTGAACCATATGATCAAGTGATCAACTTTAACATGTCAATAGACATTCTAAGATGCTAATTAATATAGTTTGACTTACACTTTCTCAAGTTTGAATATTAATAAAAAATATTTAATACACAATAGTAAATCAGCTAAATAAAGCTAAATAAAATTGATTGAGAATTTTTTCACTTTCCTTCAAAATAAAATTTTTTTGAACCTCGATATTTGGAAAATATTATTTTCTATTTGAAAAACAATTAAAATATTCAAAAGAAAATAAAAATAATGTATATTTTCAAAAAATCTGGCCTTTCGTATCATAGTTTACGTATGTCTTCATTTACAACATTTCCGGTTTGAATTTGAAAGTAAGCTATAATTCTGATTTAAATCTCCGTTTCACTTCAAATCATCAGATTTTATATTAAGATATAATAAGACTCTCATAGAAAAATAGTAAAATTCATTGTTCTAATAAAACTTTTCTTAATTATTATCACAGTCTGAATATTTAAAGGACGTACAATAGACAAACCTCGCTGGATATATAGTTCTAGTCTCCGTATAAACGAGTCTAAATAAGTGGCTCGTATGCTTAAATGTAACCAAAAGAGACTATTTAAGGAGTTTAGACTATTCTGAATCAAAACTGGCGTTAGTTCCTTAAAAACAATCAGTCATGACTAGTACTAGTGGCTCTTCATATTAGTCTGGGTTGCTATTGAAAATAATCTGGACTAGTCAGCTATTCAATATTGTCAGATCAAATGTTCGAATCCACATATGCTCTCCTTTTCTTCTGAGTTTTATCGTTAGACTGACGCGTCTGGACAGTATGATTATACAAAATGGACTAGTCATGACAGGGTGAGAGCATGTTTCGGACTAGTCTATATTAAGTTGCTAGGCCTTTTGCGTCAAGACAACTAGTCTTGACGGGCTGCAAGTCACTTCAGACTAGACCAGACGGTAGTGCCGACATTTGAGACTAGTCATGTCGGGCGTCCTCCCTTATTTTTTGCTTGCCTGGGTACTTACGCTTCGATAAGATTTTCAATCAAATCTAAACAAAAAAAGTTATATTTTTTTAAATTTATTCTTACACTTGGATTATGTGTTGGATCGCACCTAAATAAAAAAAATTATTTTTAATAAATTTATACTTACATTCGGATTGTGTTGGATCACATCTAAATGAAAAAGCAATTTATTATTTTTTTTAATTTATACTTATATTTCAGTTCAGTGATGGCCGATATCTAAATGAAAAAAATAATTTTGTTTTTAATAAATTTATACTTACGCTAGGATTATGTGTTAGATCACATCTAAATCAAAAAAGAATTTGATTTTTTTTTATGAATTTTTACTTACATTTCAGTCCGCTGTTGGGCGACATCTAAAAATAAAAAATAATTTTATATTTTCATAAAAAATTGTAATTCCATTTCATCTAAGTTTTGTACCACATCTAAGTGAAAGAAATATTTTTATTTTTTTTTAATTAACACTTACATTTCAGTTCAGTGATGGTACATATCTAAATGAAAAAAATTATTTTATTTTTTCATAAATTTATACTTAGACTTGGTTTAGGTGTTGTATTACATCTAAAGAAAAAACAAGTTTCTGCATCTTTTTTGCGTGCCGAATAGTCATGTATGTTAATTTCAAAAGCTATGCATATATAGAAATAAATCTGATAAATCTTTTGTATGCTAACCAAAAAGCTTTCGCTTTGGGGATACGTTTTGCATTAATTCTTTTTGAATAAAGAAAGATTTTATTTTTTATTTTTCATCAACGTTAAATCAGAAAGTCAAAAGTCCTATTTTAACTGTTTCCGCCTTGCACTTTTCATCAATTACACTTGGTAAAAATAACTAAACAACACCGTCGGTTAACCTCGTTTGACCACCGGTTCGGATTTTCACCGTTGGTTAACCGTAGTTACCTATCAGTTTGATGAAAACCNATATTTTAAAAATAGGAATGGTATCGACAACAAACGCAATTTATATTTATGTGGCTTGGAGAAAGAACAGAAATTAGTCTTCATCCATATCAATTGGGCTATTTAATGTTGATCGTTAAAGTAAACTTTTACAGATTTCGTTTTGTTTGTTTTAATTAATTTATTTGTTTATAGAAAACTCATGGAAGTTTTGAATTACAAGGTGTACAAGAAAAAAATCTTAACTCACAGTTGTATAATAGTATTATCCAAACATTACACGTAAGAGAAAAATAAATAAATAAAAAAATTTATATTGTGCATGCATGTGTATTTTGTAAATGTTAGTCCAGATATATTTTATTTGTTGCAATCTTCTTCGAAATCTAATATACTAAATCGACAATATTCAAAAAATTTAGACATCTCTATATTTCTTTTGCAAAGTGATCCTCTTTTTTTTGTATAGTTTGTCTTAAAAAATTTTCTGTGTGCACTTTTTCAGTCTTTTTTTTTATTCTTATTGAATGAGTCTGTTATCGCTATTATTCTTAATTTCATGGTTTTTTTTGTATTTGTTTTGTTTGCTGTTTTTTTTTGGACAAATCATCTTAAACAAAAAGAAGACAAAAGAAATAACATAAAATAAGTATTTTCTATGCAATATAGAATCGAATACGAATATCTTTTTCGTTTTCAGATGATATGATGGATATTATTGAATTTCGTACAACATGGAATAATGAACTTTTTTTTAAAAATAAATCGGCAGTTTTAACAGCTAAACATTTAATTTAAAAAAGTGTTGTTATTGGTAAGAATAAAATTGATTTAGTTTGCCATAAGCATTTTTAATTTGTTGAGCTCAAACTTGATTATGTTGACAATTAAAATATACTGAAAATACTTTAGCAATCGAATTACAAGCTATAGAACATAATAGACAACTATTAAGTCATTATCGTCATTCTACTTCATTAGCTGAAAGTTTACAACAGGTAAAACAATAAGCTAAATGATTTTATCTTAATTAATTTGATACCTTTTTTTAACGATTAAAAGTATTAGAAAATGAAATAGATAATTATAATCTTCAAATAAAAAATCTTATTCAACAAGAAAAAGAATATTGGAAACAATTAGCACAAATAATTGCAAAGTTAGTAGAAAAGAATTAAGGAATTAAATTATTTTATTATTCGTTTGTTCTCAATAGACGAACAAATTTACATGAAGTAACAACAAATAAATTAACATCTTCATCTAATATTCAACCTCTTGTTGTTATCAATGCTACATTTACCATGCCGATCGATAAAAATAATGAAAATGCTCCTCCTTATGAATGTAAATCTCCTGTAAAAATAGCAAAAATTCGTAAAAAGAAAAAATGTATATCTTAGTCAAATATATTATTTTTGTATACATGTACATGGAAAATAAAAACACAGAAAAATAAACAGAAGAAAAATCACATGAAATAAATGGCACTCAGTTTTTTTCATTGAAGCTTTTTTACTAAATAAAATACGTGGAATTTGAGATATATCGAAAGATCCACATACAACAACATATCGATTTGGTTCACAACCCATTGCATATGTTCCAAGACCATAAAATGATGCTAATTGATGAATAAAATAGCGTTTATTAAATTGCATTGGTTGGAATGAATGGTGTCACATTAAGGCACGATCATTTTTAATATCCGTCATAAGTTGAGCGAATTGTCGTTCAATATTTTGAACAAACTCAGGATTTTTCTTTGCATATTCACGTAAAAGATGTGTATAAATAGCCGGTAATCGTCGTCGTTCATTGGAATTAAATGTAAAAGGTTGAGTTAATTTGTTATTTCGTTGTATAATACGATATTCATCATCACATTCTAATTCTTGTTTTGGTTTTGGTGCAAATAAAAATTTAAAACTAGTTGTTCGACTTGGCAATGCTTGACTAGGTGATGTTGAATCAATATGAACTTTTTCTTCATTAAATTGATTTGATTTTACATTACAAATAACATCTTTTATTAAACTGTCACATTGACATCGAACTTTAATTATTGCTTCACATGTTGTTACTGGACAAGGTTCAGATCCATGACAAACTAAATTACATCTATGACCATATTCATGTCGTTTTATATTGCATCGTTGTGTACATTTTTGATCAAATGATTGACATAAACCAGAATGACATGAACATTGATATGTGTGAACTCCACGTGGAAGAAATTTACCATATGGTTGACGACAGCATACTGTTTTTACATGACATGGAACCTAAAAGGAAATAGATCTTTGTTAATTAATAATTGATAAAAATAAAACGGATTTTTTACATCAAATGGCACATGTTCTCCAACACACATTTTTGAAACAGAATGTGTACAAGGTGGACATTCACCATCATAATAACACCAATGATTAGCAGGATAACCACATTCATGTGTTCGCTTACATGAAAAATAGCATATTCGAAGAGTTTTAAGACATTTAGATTTTGGTTTAATAACTGTTTCACCACAATGACATTTTATTTTCTGATCGAATAATGAACAATCACGACAAAAATTGAAATGACATAATTCTTTACATTTACTAAACGAAAAAGAACCCAGATCGAACAGACACGGTCGTAAACGATCGTATGCGGAGAAATACAACCATGTACGGAGAAGAAAACGGTCATTTACGGTCGTCGTACGCAGATTTCGTATACAATCTCTGTTTTGCCCCGTATTTGCCCGTATACGGTCACGATGATATACGACCACGTAAAATGCTAAAATACGACCGTTTACGGTCGTAGAGGGAGTGTATACGGTCGTTTACAGACATATAGGAAGTCTGTAATCGTCGACCTGGGAATATATATTAAATTATTATTTTTCTTATTTTATATCAAATACATACTGTATACCACAATTAAGTATTTTACCGCAGACTAATTCACATCGATGACTATCAAGATTACAACATATTCGATTACATCTATATAAAAAACTTTTTTACATTTTAATTAAAGAAAATTACTAACCGATGTTTTCTACATGATTTTTCTTTTTTGCATAGTTGTTTACAACGAAAAGGATTTTTTATTGGATCATATTTCATTGCTCCTATACATGATATTGATTTACTTGATTGTCCACAACGATACTGAAGAATTAATTACTTACTACATGATGGATATGGTCCATCATGACATGTTTTTGTACATTTATGATGATCACATGAAAGTAATTTTCCACATGGTTCACCACATGTAAATGTTTTTGTACCACCAGTTTCATTAGTACATAAAACTTCACGTCCAGTTCCATGTGATAAACATGTTCGTTTAATTAATTGATCACATGGTTGACATTCTCGTGGATGGCAAATCTAAAATTAAATAATAAAGTAAAATTTTTATTTATTTAAATAAATTTACTAAATCACAAATATGATGTTGACATGATTTAAGTTTTTCACATTTATTTTCACTAATTGGTAACTAAATAGAAAGTCTATTTTTCAAAAACAATACATTTTTAATCATACTGGTTCAACACATGATGTTTGTTGTTCATCATTTACTTCTGAAACGTTGTCTATACTAAAAGACATCTAAATTAAATGAAATATATTAATATTATATAAACGTATCGAAAATGTTTTCTACTTACCAAATTTAAATCAATTTGTTCCTCGCCCATTATTTTATCTAGAAAAAATATATATGTTTCAGTAGAAAATAAAATTCAGTAAAATCTGAAATTGTCCTAGGAAAAATTAAAGGGTCTAGGACAATTGCTCGCAAGAACACTTCTTCACGTCTGTGAGTGTAAGTGTGGATATTGTGCCGATATATGCGTCACGGCTCGCTGCTCTTCCTCTTTCCTCTTCCTCTCTCTCTCTCTCTATTGTTCTCTATGTGTCGTCTCTCTCTCTTTGTTTCTCTGTCATATATAAGCTTGTGTTGAATGTGCAATAGACACATTCTGGATATGTGAAGTAGTGAATATAAACATCTATACCGAGGGTGGTGGTAAGCTACCCAATCCAGTTTATCGTTACAGATATATGTGTGCACGTAGAGAAGCTATACACTTACACTAACTCAGATTCACACCATCCCTAACTAAAACCATCACCCTCATCCTCATCCGCACCCATGAGCAAGTGTCCTGAGTGTGGAGTGTGTATGCGGGTATGGGTATGAGTGCGTATGGATGGATGTGGGTTGGTGCGGGTGTAGGTCGGCGTGATGGGTGTGGATGTACGTATTCATATGATCCAGACGAACCAAATCCACATCCAAACATTTATCTTAATTCTTTTTATGAGCTTAACTTTCTTCATGCTGAGCTTCCCGTGTGCTTATTGTTCGCGTGTTGATCATTCGCGTGGTTATCGGTGCCTTACTTAAGTGTCCGCAGTGAAATGGTCATGCTTATCAGTCCCCGTGCTTGTCAGTCACCAAACTAAAAAAATTACATATACTCCTTTTCTCTTGTTTGAATGTATATTTACCCTCGATATGAGAAAAAAGTTCCACCGTAAAATACTGCGTAAGAGATAGCTTCGCCATCTCCAAGGACGTCAAACACATTATGTCGACGTTAAAATAGTTTCGATGATTAAATATCATTCACAAAGAAAAATATGTTTTAGCCATACTGCGATACCTCAATGGTTGGAGCACTGTTCATGTTAATCAGTCTTGGTCATGGGTTCGTTTCTCGGTTGAAGCATATCTTTTATTATCTGTTTATTGATCGTAAGTCAAAGGAAGTAAATTTCAGTATTGTGTAAAAATTACACATTCTCCTTTTCTATGCTTTGAGGATGTACATCGTATATGTAGACATATGCGTACACGTTACACTGCGATTCATCCTACTGTTGACATAGATCGGAGTAACAGGTCTTTCAAAGTTCAGTCAGTTGAGTGCCTTATCTGTTGCAGACGTTGGCTAACATGATACGCCAATTTTTCCGGTTCAGTGCTGCGTGAAGAAAGTCTATTTGCTCATAACCTTGTTTTTCAATCCAGAGATTCATGTTTTCGAGGTACTTGATTCTTTGTCGGCCTTTGTCCTTCTTCCCATTGATTTTTCCACTTAATACCAGATGTTCCAAGCAACCTTTACGGATTATATGGCCAAGGAAGTTCAGTTGCCTATAACGGATGGTATTTATCAAACATCTTTTCCATTTCATTCTTTTTAATATTGATTCATTGCTTTCTCTGGCCGTCCAAGGTACACTCATCATTCTTCTGAGGAACCACATTTCGGTAGCCTCCAAGCGTTTTTCCATTTCTTTATTGATTGTCCAACATTCAGATCCATATAACAGAATCGACCACACGTAACATTTAAGGACTCTGATTTTAGTGTTGATCGATATGGATCGATTTTTCAGAATTGGACTCATTTTTTGGAAAGCTTGTTTGGAGAGAGCAATTCTCTTTTTGATGTCTTCATCACATCTTCCATCTGATGTTATGGTGGATCCCAGATAGTTGAAGCGGATAACTTGTTTAATTGGTTCTCCATTGATGTTTACGTTGCATATTGGTGAGCTTTTACTTTTTGATATACTCATACATTCTGATTTCTTGACATTGAGTGATAGTCCCATCTTTATGCTTTCTCTTGAGACTATATCAATCATTTCTTGTAGATTTTCTTCAGTACTTGCTATTAGTACAGTGTCATCTGCATATCTAAGGTTGTTACAATTATAGCCTCCAATTTTTACTCCTTCTACATCATCTAGATTTCTGAGTATCATTTCGCTGTAGATGTTGAAGAGGTATGGAGATAGAACACAACCTTGTCTGACACCTCTCTTGATATTTGTGTATTGACCGGTATCATTATTTATTTTTATGGCGGCTTTTTGATCCCAATATAGATTTCGTATTAGTCTCAGATCTTTACCATCGATATCTAACTTTTCTAGAATTTGAAATAGATTGTCGTGTTTGACTTTGTCAAATGCTTTTGTGTAGTCGAGGAAACATAGATATAAGTCATGTTTGACTTCTATGGATCTTTCGATTATCATTCGAAGAATGAAAATTGCATTTCTGGTGCCTTTATCGGGTGTGAATCCGTATTGTTCTTCTGCTATTTCTGGATAGATCTTGTTTTTCGTGCGCATCATCAGAATTTTGAGTAGAACTTTTGTCACATGACTCATGAGACTGATTGTGCGATGAAGTTCACATTCAGTAGCTCCAGGCTTTTTTGGAAGAGCTATGAATACTGATTTCATTAGATCTTCCGGAATTTCACCTGTGTCATATATTTTGTTTATGAGTTTTGTCATGACATCAACACCTAGTTCCTCGAGACATTGAATCATTTCAATAGATATTCCATCAGGACCTGTTGCTTTGTTTATTTTCATTAATTTTATAGCTTGTCTCACTTCATCTTTCATTATAAGTGGTCCTTCTATGTTTTTCTTTATGCTAGGTTTAGAAGCTCTATTATCATCGAAAAGTTCTTCTATGTATTCCGACCATCTGCTCAGTATATCATGTTTTTCCATGAGAATGGTTCCAGTTTTTGATTTTATGCAACCTGAACTGGTGCATCTTGCTTTACTAGTGATTTCGTTGATCTTTTGATGAGCGTATTTAGTGTTCACACTCAACTTACGTTCAATCTCTGAACATTGTTCGTTCAGCCAATTTTCTTTTGCTTCTGAGCATTTCTTTTTGATTTCTTTATCTATCAACTTGTACTCAATTAGATTTGATTTATTGAGTCGTCTTTGTTCCATTAGATGTAGGATGTCATTATTCATCCATCTCTTTTTCTTGTTCATTTGCGTTTTTGGAATTACTTCTTTAGCAGATACTAAAATTGAGGATTTTATCTGCTCCCACAATACGTCAGTCGTTGTGGTTTCGTTGATTTCACTCAGTGCTTCAAATCGGTTTTGTACCTTGATACAGAATTTTTCTTTTATATCTGTATTAGTTTTGAGAAGATGAATTTGAAGTTTAGGATTTTGTGTAGATTGTTTTATCTTTTTCAGTTTTACTCGAATTTCGCTGATGACTGGGACATGGTCACTGCTACAATCTGCTCCAGGAAATGCTTTAGAAGATATCACTGAGTTCCTGAATCGATGAGGGACCATTATGTAGTCTATTTGATTTTTAGCTCGGTCTCCGGGACTTCGCCATGTCCATAGTCTACGTGGGTGATTTTCGAACCATGTGTTGGTAATGACGAGGTTATGTGATTGACACCAGGTTACTAGATTATCACCTCTATCATTTTTATTTCCCAGGCCAAAAGGGCCTACCGTATTGCCGATTCGTTTGTCACCTACTTTTGCATTGAAGTCACCCATCACGTAGATAATGTCATCTGATTTGCATTGTTTGTAAGCTTTTTCTAAATCTTCATAGAAATCCGAGATTGCATCTTCATTACAGTCAGCTGTTGGTGCATAAGCTTGAATGATTGAGATGTTAAAAGGTTTGCCATTAAGCTTTATAAGAAGGACTCTGTCTGAAATTGCCCAGAATCCTTTTACACTTTTGAATGTTTCTTTGTCAAGAAGCATACCTACTCCCCTTTCATGTTGATCTCCTCCGGAGTAGAATAATGTAAAGTTATCTGTTCGAAAAGATCCAGCTCCCGTCCATCTGACTTCACATAGACCTAACACATTGAGCTGTAACCTTTGCATTTCTTTCTTTATATTATCTAATTTTCCTTTCTGAAACATAGTTCTTACATTCCAAGTTCCTATTTTGAATAAGTTTTTGGTACGGACAGTAGCCTGTTGACGATCGAGGGTCACCTGCCGTCCATGACCATCTCTACCGAGCGAGGTGTTCTCCCCGAGAACCCCATTCACGCCGTTGTCTGGACTGGAAATTTTGACGTTGATCATATTGTGCTTGGGAATATACAGCGGTGGTTTCCCCTTGCCTTCCGCCGGGTTGAATGGTTTTCTCCATTTGGTGAATTGCCAGTTATGGCAAAAGGGCTTCACCGACCCTGGCTAAGGCTTATGAAACTCGGTTCGGGAGGAGCCTTGTTTCTGGCGGCCTATACTCGCCCTATCATCCTGTCGTCTTTGGGTTTCTGTGGCATTTTATAAGAGTTTTGGTGCCAATCCAAAACCCACCACACCCTGCTGGCAAGAAGGCTGAGTATTGTCCGGGACTGTTTATTTGATCAATTGCTTGATCTTATTCGCAGCTAACCATCATACTAATGGCCGTTCCACTATCCGCAACCTGTGGACCCGCTTGGTAGCATCCAGCTTAGCCCCAAGATTAATGAGTTATAGTCGTAATTAATTTCGCTAGTAAAGTAACCATCTAAAAACGTTTAGAATCGGCAACACATCAGTAAAAAGTACCTAATCAGAAAAATCAGAAGGTCAGAAAACAATCAGAAAAATTTTCAAATTTCAGAAACTTTTCTGAGTTTTCAGAAGATCTGGCAACTCTGATAAAAAGTGTTTCTCAAGTATTACATGAAATAAAATTATATGCATATAACAGGTGATGTTGAAAGAAAGCTAAGTCTTAAAAAAATTCTTATTATCAACTGGAAGTAAGATGAGTTTTTCGAAAAATAACTAAACACTTTTGATAGATATTAAATAGCTGATTTGTTTTGCTACTGATAAAGTG